AAAATAATATGGGATAGAGACAAATAAACATTGCCTATAAAAAAACCGACCACCTGGTTTTTTAAGAAAAAATGGCCGATTTTGGAAATGCTTTTTTTCTCAGCCTTTTAAGCCATAGACCTGCGCAAGGCCTCATTTTTTAGAAAATTTTCCGCTGTACAAGATGTTTTCTTAAATGCTTTGTGGAAATTGGATGGACTCACGTATTGTCTGATCGTGTTTGCTTGTGTATACTGAATTAATGAAAAAAGTTAATTACTTTTTATCGTTACTTAAGACCTTATTGTTCAATATAACTTTTATATGATTAGTTACCTATAAAAAATATCAAGCGTTAGTTTTCAGAAAAGTAAAAACCTCTCTACCTCATTATTTTGTTTGTACGATAAATCACGGCTGTTATATTTATCTGAATCTTGGTTAAAAGTCTGCCGCGGTCTTGCTCCGTGAAAGGGGCGAGGATGAGATTTGTGTTCTCCGCCGCAGAACCTTATTTATCTTTCTTCCTACCGCTGAGGAGCAGAAGGACCCGGTTATTAAATCAGTACAGTTAATGCCCCATGTGACGCGGGTAAGTAAGTGAATAATTTTATTGCTTTCGGGGCGTTTTTTTCTTCTTTTTTATTCCCAACCCCCTTTCGCCACCCCGCTCAGACCCCCACACAAGAAACAGGAGGGCCGTGGTACGGCGTCTGAATTTTTAAACAGTCGCCAAACCGCAGTTCACGGGCTATTACAGTGTCAACTGTTTCCCATCTACATCATATTTCATACGAGTCATCGCTTTAAAAAAATATCTCGGGACCGCGACCTTCTCAGTTGAAAAAGGGGGCTCCGCACTTTATGGTGTCTATTAAAAAACATTTTGTACGTGATCGGTATGAAAAAGTGGAAATTGAAAAGCCGACGGATTTCAATAAACAAATAAATGGGTTTCAGATATTATATTGAAAAAACTTTATAAAACTTCATATTCGAAATATTAAATTGTCTACGCAAGCACAAATTCAACAAAATTATTAAATTGTATTCGCCAGTTGATGAACAAAAAACCAATTAAATTATTTATTAACATGATAAATGCATAAATTCTTAAGAAGCCATCGGTTGTACCTAGCCTAGTTCACACGGCGCTTTGAAATCACTGTAATCCCTCTCTGTAATTGATACTCGCCGCGCCGTTGGGGTCAATTGACGCGTCAGGAAACATGTGGTATAACAAAAAAGGGCACAATTAATGAAATCACACCTTGGGCATATGGACGGGGATCGATGTGTGCCGATTCACACGCTTGAATCAGGGTCAGCATTGAAATCGGTCTATTACAGAACGATCGATAGTATCTGTGTCATCGTATGCCGAAACTTACTATTGTCCAATCAAGTTTTTTTTATGTAAAGAACACGTTACTTTATTTTCTAACTCAAACAAAAAATCCTAATTCACTTCCTATTCCGCATTTTTACAAATCATAAACAATACGGTGCATGCATACTAAGTTATTCTAATCACGAATATGACTTGTTCCTTCAATGTTTTAAAAAATTAAAAATTAAATAGTAACAAGTATATACCTACAAAAATAGTTTTCATCATCACACGAACTTTTACTGAAGTGCGCAAATGACTGGTCAGGATCATAGTAATATAGGAAAATGTTAGGGAAATAAGCAGGGAGATGCAATATGTAGACAACGTTCCTTTCTAGAAATTATCATACCTAGATATCGAGGAATAAAAAATTGTGCCCCAAAAATTCCTTTATTTCATAATTATTTTCAAATAGGAGCATAAATAGTCCTCACTTCCATAATTAACATAGTTCAAATTTTCAATGATCCGTCCGTCTTTTACTGAAGTGCGCAAATGACTGGTAAGGATAATAGTAATATAGCAAGATGTTAGGGAAATAAGCAGGGAGATGCAAGATGTTAACTAATTTCACTAAATTCGTGGTCCGCTTGACCAATTAATGTGTTACAATTAATTAAGATTTTTAGTTGAGATAAAAAAAGGAGGGCAATTCAAAATGGCAAAAAGGAGGGAAAATTCAAAAAAGGTGCGGTTGAGATGGGAAGTTGGTGTCCGAGTGGATCGAGGTCACGATAGCACAAGTGGTAGAGCAGCGGCGTATCAAGCCGAAGATCGTGGGTTCGAATCCCGCTCGTGCCATTGACTTTTTTTATCTCAACTAAAAACCTTAATTAGATGTTGACAACGTTCCTTTCTAGAAATTATCTATTCCTAGATATCGAGGCATAAAAAATTGTAATGCAAAAATTCCTTTACTTCTTAATTATTTTCAGTTAGAAGCATAAATAGTTCCCACTGTCATAATTAACATAGTTCAAATTTTCAATGATCCGCCCGTCTTTTACTGAAGAGCACAAATGACTGGTAAGGATCGTAGTAGTTTAGCAAGATGTTAGGGAAATAAGCAGGGAGATGCAAGATGTTGACATCGTTCCTTTCTAGAAATTATCTGTTCCTAGATATCGAGGCATAAAAAATTGTAATTCAAAAATCCCTTTATTTCTTAATTATTTTCAGCTAGGAGCATAAATTGTCCTCACTTCCATAATTAACATATTTCAAATTTTCAAAGATCCGCCCGTCTTGTAGTGAAGATTAGTAAGGATCATAGTAAGATGGCAAGATGTTAGGGAAATAAGCAGGGAGATGAAAGATCTTGACAATATTCCTTTTCGAAAATTCAGAAAATAGTCTAGATATCCTCATATACCGACAGTACGAATTTGAAAAAATTTGTCGTGTTTAAAAATCTTTTATTTACTGTGTCTAACTGGTTTATAAAAGCAATTCTGACATGGCAAAAGTTGCAAGTAGAGACAAGCAAGAATACATACTGTTTTGCAAATTATGCATGGGTCTAGACTACTCACAAATAAAACAGTTGTAATCCTACAATCCTTCATTTAATGTATTTTCAGTTTAGGACGTAAATAGTCCTCACTTTCTGAAACAATATAATTGAATTTTTCCAAGTTCTGTCTTTTATAAAAGTATTAACTGCCTTGTAAAAACTGTAGGCAGATGGCAAAAGTTTGGGGTTATAAGCAGGAAGAGGCAGTACGCTGACTACATTCCTTCAAGCAATTTATATAAGTGTCTGCCTCGCTCTGTGGATATATAAATAGTTATAATTCAAAAATTCTTTTACTTTTATGTTCACTTTGAGGCGTGAATATTCCTCACACATTTGAAGTTTTAAAAAATTCGTCTATGACAAATTTTTTTAAATTAGCTTGTAAAACCATCATCAGATTGCAAGACAGGGTTATAATCAAAAAGAACAGTACGTTGACTACATTTGTTTGTTCAAATTCGATATCTTGACATAAAAATAGTTGTAATCAACAAATTCCATTTCTTCTTAAAATACATTCAGTTGAGAGTGCAATTAGTTCTCATATCATAAAATCACATATTTCAATTTATCAAAGGTCTGTTCTTTACAACTAACTGGTAAGGATATAATCAGATGGCAATTTGTTAGGGTTATAAGCAGGGGGACAACTACACTCTTTTCAGTAAATGTACGTACGTAGATCTCTGGACATAAAAACAGTTGTAATCAATAATTACTTTACTTATTAAATTACTTTCAGTTTGAAACGTAAATAGTCTCACATACTGAAATCATACATTTGGAGTCTTCAAGGATGCGTGTTTTACAAAATTTTACACACGGCTTTTAAAATTCAATAATCAAAGGAAATATGTTACTGTTATAAGCTGAGAAATTCGAGACTCTGACTACATTGTTTTCTTCAAATTAATCATTTCCTCAACTTTATTAACCAACAAAAGTTGTAATCATATATTGGTTTACTTCTTAAAACATTTTTAGCTTGGAACATAATAGTCCTCCCATCGTGAAATTATATATTTGAAGCTTTCAAGGTAGAGTTTAAGGTAATACGTAGGGATAGGAAGTACGCTGACTCCATTATTTTCTTCAAATTAATTATTCGCTCTATTGACTCTATTGGCATAAAATGACTTTCAATGTAGAAAAAATTGTAATCAAACATTGGTTTACTTGTTAAAACATTTTTAGTTTGGAACATATTAGACCTCTCATTCTAAAATAAAATATTTTAAAGCTTTCAAGGTAGGTGTTAAGGTAATAAGCAGGGAGAGGCAGTACTCTAACTACATTATTTTCTTTAAATTAATCATTTGCTCTGTTGACTCTATTGGCATAAAATTTCTCTAATGAATCTGATTATTTAGAGATCGTGAGATGCGGTCTGGTTTGACAAGTGAAAGAAATTAGTGAATTGGATAACAGACAGCATTTTGTGTCGGAATAAACAGATAAGAGTGAAAGAATGATCTACCTGTAATTGTTTTACAAAAATTATGAGAAGTGGTGAATGAAGGAGTGAGTGCGTTTTCAATCCTTTTTTTAAAAAGATAGTTTCTACTCACTGTAGGTTACTTACTGTGAGTAGGAACTATCTTTTTAAAAAAAAGGATTAAAATGATGAGATGCGTGGATCTAAATGAGATCTCACACACACAGCACTGTGCATTTAAAGTTCTGACAAAGAAATAATTGACCATCATTTTGAATATTTACTAGTTTTCGTGGTCCGCTTGACCAATTAATATCTCTCAATTAATTAAGGTTTTTAGTTGAGATAAAAAGTCAGTGTCACGAGCGGGATTCGAACCCTCGATCTGCGGCTAGATACGCCGCTGCTCTACCACCTGCGGCATTCTTCATGAAATGTATGGTGTTTAATGACCTTTAATTAATGATTATTTGGAGATCGTGAGATGCGTTCTGGTATGACTTAGATTTAGAAAAGCATTTTCTTTTTCGTGCCAACGGTTTCATCTTTATTGAGATCATCTTCAGGGCCTGGGATTTATAAAAATTGTTGAAATTATACAAATACATGTAAGATGTGAAAAAATGAATTCATACAATGATAGAAATTTTAGATTCAATCAAAGTACTCACTCGAATTGTTTGTTTTCTGTGTAGATGTGTCTTTATTGTTGTCGTGCTGAATACCACAAATTTGTATGAATCTGTTGACATAAAATCAGTTGTATTCAAACATCGGTTTACTTGTTAAAACATTTTTAGTTTGAAACATAAATAGTCTTCCCATCCTGAAATATCACATTTGAAGTTTTCAAGGATCCGTCTTTTACAAAGATAGTTAGATGGTAAAATGTTATGGTTATATCTAGGGTGAGGCAGTGGCTTACGTTATTCTTTGTGCTTATTTTGCTTGTGTCTATCGGCAGAAAAAGCATCACTAATCAACAGTCATCAAACACTTTCCGTTTAGAGCGTGAATAGTCCTCATACCCTGAAATAACAAATTTAAAATTTCAATCATCCATCCGTTGCAACAGTGTGTATTTGACTTGAAAGTATCATAGTTAGTTTGCAAGAATGCTCACTATTCCCATTCTCTAAATTACGGGCTGTTCCATCAAGCATTTCGTGAAACATTTTTAATTTGGAGCGTAACTAGCCCTCACATTCTGAAATCAAACATTTGAAGTTTTCAAGGATCCATTTTTCATAGAAGGAGTAAGAAACATAGTTAGATGGCAAAATTTTAAGGTTATGAATAGGGCGAGGGGGTACACTGAGAAAAAAAATTACTATAAAATTAACAATTGTCCTAACTCCTTAAAATTCACATTCGAAATTTTTAAAGATTTGCCTTTTACAAAGGTTTGCATTGCCAAGAAATACAGCCAAATGGAAAAATTTATGGGTTATAAGCAGGGAGAGGCAAAACGCAAAGTGTTTTTTTTTGGGGGAATTACTGCATTTCAATTGAATTGGAAACAATTAATTCCCAACAACCATTACATCACATGTACATATTTTTTATTTTGTGATCAATAAAATTACTAACATCATCATCATCAATGTCGAAACATCTCACTAATAAGCCTCGTAATCTTTATTTTCCTGTTTTTTAATCATAGACGGCTACCTTCAAGCTTTCTAGTTGCAACATCATTCCTAACAACATGTAAACTTCTGCTATTTTTGCCATCTGTTTGCATTTTGTTATTGGAATAAAGTTTGTAAAAATTTACTTGAGATGCTGTGTTTGTGTAGGCCTGACATGCAGAATAAATAGAACTTTCTGAACGTATTTTCGGCATACTTCTGATTTAAGGTGCTTGGTCGTAAAGTAAGATCAGGTTATCGTGAATAATATTGTTTTAAGAAGAAACCCGTAAAATAGGTTGTCAGTTGATTTGGCTAGAATTGACTTTCGCCCAATGATTGTATGTTTAAAAAAAGGCGTATTTGTCCAAAATGCACCGACTTGCTTGAAATGGATAAAACGAGGCAATGACAACTTATAAGGGGAGGCGAAGGTGAATAAAAGTACCCAAGAGAGCCGGTAGCCCCAGGCGTCGACAAATCAACTGGAAGATGGGTCGCCCCTGTGAGGCCTGCAGCTGCAGTCGTCTTCCCTCCTGCGTAATGGGGCTGACCGCGTCCCACGGGAACCCATCCCGGGAAAGGCTAATTTTTGCCAAACGTGGATCCGGCTAAAACAGTAAACTCGCCCTAATTAAAAGCCCGGCGGGAATTTTTTAAAACAATTCCCCGCCCTGACGGCTCTTCATAACGCCTTGCTATTTTCCTTTTGTCTTCCCTCCTGCTCCACCGCCCTCATCCATCCTATTCTTTTCTATTGAATTATAAAATAAAACAAGGTGAAACAAAGAGCCACTGAATTTTAATTCAGCGAGGGGGCGAAGTTACCTTACCCCATTAGCCGGGTTAATTGGCATCATTTAACGGCATCCTTTCGGCAACCCTCCCTTTAACACTTTTAAAACATAATGTGGCTATCTAACACTCTGACCGGAGCTCTAAAATATAAAGTCATAATTTGTAACACGCGATCGCAAAGCATTTTTTTGCTAGATTTACTTTTTTATGGAAGTACAATTACACATAATAACTTACAATTTTATCGTGGCCATATATAGAAGAAGTAATAATAACTGTGATATTAGGTTATTTAAAAGGTAGTAATTGTACAGGGTTAGTTCTTCACAAGTGAACCAAATCCAAAAAGTTTTATATTATAAATTAAAGTGGTAATAATTTTATGGAAGAGGACTAACCAGAGAGAGGCCTATTATTATATGTAGATTTAACACAATAACACAAATAAAAATCATAGTAGTAGTGTAAGTCATATCTGTAGTACTTAGATTGGGAAAAGAAGAATTGTGGCTGTTGGGATTTTTTCACGTGGATTTTTTTTCGCAGCAACCGACTAAACAAAATACATAAAAGAAACCGATGAAAGTGCAATTTAAATAAAAATATTTCTTGCGTTTCTTGGGTCTTCCTTCAGGGGACGAAACCGAAGTTTCTATGTTTAAGTTACAGCGATCATGGGCAAATCCAAATGATCAGAAATATAGCACTCATGCCTCAAGAAGAAATTTCACAATATAAACTGGGAAGGTAATTTGAAGGCTTTTTTTAGCTGCAACTGTGGGACGAGGAATTTCATGAGGGGGAGGAGTTTACAAACAGTATGGGAGAAATTGTAAAATTTTATGATTTTTTTATGTAATTAGATTTTATTACATTCTAAGGGTGAAAAAGACAGAAACACAACAGATTAAGGGAAATTTGAGGATAGGGGGAAGTAAAAAAAGAGAAAGAGAGACTGGTATAATAGACTGAGTGAGAGAGAGAGTGAGTTAGAGAGAGAGAGTGAGAGAGAGAGAAATCTCTCACCAAGATAGTTTAATCATTACATACAAAATCACTTGTTAGATTTAGATAGAAAACTATGTGGTTTGAGGGTGAGGAATATGTACTTCGGTCGTTACCGATTATTTTTGATTTCTCCTTGTGTGTTGGTCTGTCATCTGAGGTGTTGGGACTGTGTGATTTCTCTGAAATGACATTTTAAAAAGGTCGTGGAGGTGAGAAGAGTGTATCGTATTTACTTTATCCGTATCACGGATGTAATGATTTGAACACGTGTAATTTAATTATTAAATTTGATAGTGGGTGCTGGTTGTTGAACTAGCACTGGGTCCGTCTACTCTCGCGGGTACATAAAGAAAAAGCCCTAGACTTACATCAAGCAATCAATAACCTATATGAAAACACTTTCATATATCGAGCACAAACCAAATTCAACACAAACTTGCAAAAATGACTATAGTAGGTCTACCTTAGGGTCAATCGAATACCTCAAAACCGCACAAAACTTAAAACAAAAACAAATACAAAACATAATGAATAAAATAACAAACAATGACAGCATTGGCATCCGAAAAGGCAACTCCACAACAAAAACGACAAAAAAATCGACACTACAAAAATATTGGAGTTTAGACTTCGTATAAAACTTAGACTTTTAGAATAACATTGTCTGAAAACAAAAATCTCCAAAGCAAGTAAAAAAACAATAACCAGCTGTTCACTAATTATTAAACCCTCGCAAACGTCCAAAAATACAAAAATTTATATCCCAGATCACCAAACATGACAACCCACGAGTTAGATAGACTCAGTAGTCAACATTCAATAATTGATTGTTCATAAACAAAGAAATGGTTTGCTTTTTTTAAATCAAATTTTGCGTACCTTAGTTTTCTTTTACCATGACTGCATCAATAATCATTTTCAAATGTTCTAATAGGACCAGATTACCAAAATATGTATAAAATTTACGTTTTTAGCAGCATAGAAAGATATATATATATATATATATATATATATATAGAGAGAGAGAGAGAGAGAGAGAGAGAGAGGAAGGGAGAGAGAAAGGCAGATAATAATGATAAAAGGAATAATGTTTAATGAATGATAATACTTTATTTATTACTCACAGATTTAGGTAGTTTTACCTCCCTTACAATCTTTGGGTATAATTTAAAAAATATGATTGTGGTACACAATTTGAGCGAGATAGAGACAGAGGAGGGGAGATGGAGAAGGTTCTTTAGATAGATAGATAGACAGATTAATCACTGGCGGGGGAGAGCTAAAGAAAACAAAGCAAGAGAGAGAGAGGGGGGAGAGAGATGGAGAAAGGTTCTTTAGATAGATAGATAACAGATTAAGAACTAGGGGGAGAGCTAAAGAAATGAAGAAAGAAAGAGAGAGAGTTAGTGAGAGAGAGAGAGAGAGAGAGAGAGAGAGAGAGAGAGAGAGAGAGAGAAAGAGAGAGAGAGAGGGAGGGAGAGAGTGAGTGAGAGGGAGAGAGAGAGAGAGAGAGAGCAATCAATTAAATTGGTCTAATCTTTAATATTAATATAAATTTATATTAATGAAGGCTAATATTTATTACATCACAATAAAGATTTTTCTCAAACACTTAAATTCGTAAAAAATATGGTATGATTTATGAAGTGGTTTATACATCAAAATCCTTCAGATATCAAATTCTATGTTTAAAATAAATGTTAATATTACCATTTATTATACAACACATATTTACTGAATGAATGTTAATAATTTTCAAATCTCATATCAGTTTTAAGTGAACATGATAATTCAAATATCATAATGACAAATAATAGACAAAATATTATGCTTATGAAAAGTTGAAAAACCTTATTTCTTCTTGGCAAAACTGTAAACCTAACCACAAAAAAACGTTGAAAAATGCTGGTACAGCTGTGGGAATTTAGTATTCCAAGAATCCTTTTGGAGTTGCAACAGTAGGTGCATGCTCTTCTCTCAAGGTGAGTGAACTTTGATTTAATAATATAAAAGTTCAGTTTGGTTAAAACTACCACAACTACCATATGGCAATGGAGTTATTTCTTTTTTCGTTTTATGTACTAGTTTTTCGAAATGTACCCGGGCGCCACCACCGCGATGGTACCTTCATTAAAGTCGCATTTCGAATTATCTCCGGAACGATGGTCGCCGGGATAACAACATAATAACAGGGCAGGTATATCGGGATCTGATCGGAGAGCGAAGGCTCGACACAATCATGTATTATTAGAGGCGGCCATTGCTTGGCTTCAAGCCGATCCTTGCTGTCTGATGGCGTTTTGATTGGCTGGGAAAAGCTGCGGTCCAATTGCACCTATTACACAGGCCTGCTGCAAAGCCACCATTTTTAGACCAGAAATGCGGGCCACCGGCCGGAAACTTCTGATATTTCGAGGAGATATCTCTTGCCGTGTGCCGGGGACCATTCATGCCAAGGAGAGGGGTTAAGCACACTATAATTGCCTTTCTTTTATCCAACCCGTAACATTACAAAGACACATACACACATAAGCAGAGAAATGTAATGGTGCCAAAACACGGAGCTGCTTCCGAAAAAGTTTGTAAGGAAATCGATTTCGTTAATTGTTTTTGATCAAGGAGAAATATTTCCCGAATATGTGTCTGACCGTTGGTGAACTTTTGGATGTAATGTGATGGTTACCTATCATTTTTGGTTTGTCTTCCTTTCACTGTTGTCTGCCTGCATGTCATTCATTCACTCTCCCTCTCTATCTCTCTCTTTCGCATTCGCTCTCTCTCTCTCTCTCTCTCTCTCTCTCTCTCTCTCTCACTTACTCAAGCTCTGCCAATCTTTCTCTATTTCAGTCTTATTTTTAATTTGACAACGAAAAAATCGTGACGTACGTATTTCAACAATTACTAACTTATACAAGAGATTGATTTGATTCATTGAGATTTAATGACATCTTTTACATTCATTTAATTGGCAACATTTAATTGATTTAATTAGCAATCACACAGACCCTACACTGAATGTGGTAAATATTTGTAGGCGGCTGCTTGTCTTTATTACTCTTTTTTTCGATATTTTACTCCTGTCAGATAATCTCACTTTATTTTTCTTATTTCTAAATCTTAATCAAAAATTGAAAATTTCCTTTAAAACATATTTTGTAATTCTGTACAGTTTTGATGTTTAATTTAAACAAGTTGTATTGAATATAGGTGTTATTAATATTTAAAATTCTCTCTCTCACTCTCTCTCTCTCTCTCTCTCTCTCTCTCTCTCTCTATTTATTTATATCATCTATATCTTACATTTAATATATTATTTTGGTCTGAGGCATTATGGACCTGCTAGTATTGATCACATAGTTGGTCATTTTATCATTTGTCTCATTCCTATCTCCATTATACTTTTATCTTTCTATCTCTATATATCTATCTTCCTATCCATCTATCTATGTACGTATTACATATCTGTATATCTATCCATCTCTCTCTGTATATATCTATATATCCATCCATCCATCCAGATTTGAACCACCTACCTCAATGACGAAATTTAACTCGATCTGGATGTTTCCATCATACAAACTTCCTTTCGAATCTTCAAAAGATGAATTGGACAGAAAAAATCACTCCTAGAACAATAGCGATTAACTTTTAAACCGATATTTTTTCTTGTGACCATAAACTTATGAGATAGAACCACAATGAAACTTAACGATACCTCTCGTATCTCAAGTTATCAATTAAATGTAAAATTTATTTGTCTTACCTTTATGACTTTCTTTTAGTGGAACAGGAAAATCACCAGGTTATCATTATCATTTCTCATCATCAGCTCAAGTTCTCCGAGATATTCCCAAAAAAGCGATCGTATTTCTGACTTCTGCAACGCTTCTTCTATAATCTTAAATCTCCCTTCCTCCCTCCTAATCTCTCTCTCACTCTCTCTCTATCTCTCTCCCTCTCTCTCTCTCATTCTCTCCCCCCTCTCTCTATCTCTATCTCTCTCCCTCTCTCTCTCTCTCTCTNCTCTCTCTCTCTCTCTCTCTCTCTCTCTCTCTCTCTCTCTCTCTCTCTCTCTCTCTCTCTCTCTCTCTCTCTCTCTCTCTCTCTCTCTCTCTCTCTCTCTCTCTCTCTCTCTCTCTCTCTCTCTCTCTCTCTCTCTCTCTCTCTCTCTCTCTCTCTCTCTCTCTCTCTCTCTCTCTCTCTCTCTCTCTCTCTCTCTCTCTCTCTCTCTCTCTCTCTCTCTCTCTCTCTCTCTCTCTCTCTCTCTCTCTCTCTCCTCTTTCAGTTGTTCTCTCTCTATATTTTTTCATACCTCTTTCTTCCTCAAATTCTCACTTCTGCACTTCTCTCTCTCTCTCTCTCTCTCTCTCTCTCTCTCTCTCTCTCTCTTGTTGTCAATGACTCCAATGTAAGTCCAGTTTAAGACAATATTTGTGCGTTTGTGTGACGAGTTTGAGGTGTTGAGAGAAGAATAATATAGATGAATAGATAGGTAATTTGTCATGAATTCGATTTCGTTATCTGATTTTATTAAATGAGAAATATTTTTCGAATTTGGGTGTGACGTATGTTGAGCTCGGAAGTAATTTATTTATGGCCTGTTTAGGAATGCCGCTATGTTTTATGTGTGCGTCTGTAACACTGTGAGGATAGGATATGAGGGCGTTTGGTAATGACCAAATTACACGTTTATCTATGGAGTGAAACATGAAATGCCGCACAAATAAATACTACCATGTTACGAAGTATTTTGAATAAAAAAAAATCACTTATATTTGTTACTTATTTTTAGTATGGGTAAAATTTGTTTGTGGTAATAAAGAATCGTGATCCTGCAAGTGATTAATAGTTGTGAAAGCAGGAACCAAATTGTATAAGTTTTTGAATGTCAATGAAATGGAAAGTATGGAATGGTCAGCCATGAAATAAAAAATAAAATAGAAAGTTGTTTCATTCTTGCAATCGACTTTTATCGACAATTCCTCAAAAATTTATTGAGGATTTATTGCCCAGGGAGTTGATGTTGAAGTCGGTAACGGAGGTCGGCCCGCATCACAACTCCCGTCTATTCACGTTATCGCCTCCTCGGGGGATGGGTGAGCCCGTCTGACTGTTATACTGCTTTGGCACATCAGGATGTCGTGTAAGGCACCTCAGAAGTCGCCTCCTATCTCTAAGATACAACTCAAACCCAAACTCAGATAGGTATGAGTTCTTTCCACCGCCACTTATCAGAGCGTGCACACATTCACTGGGGCCGAGGCCCGAAGGCGAACGCTTCAGATTCCGATACGAGTTTTCTTATTGCCACCACCCCTTTTCCTCCCGAGGGACTCCTATCTCCTCTTCTTTTCAAATGCAGTCAGACTTGCACAATTATTCCGGTCCTCCTCTCGCCGTAACTTGCAGACATCTACAAGCCGGCGAGAATCCGTTATCGGCACCGTCCCCACCTTTTTATTTGACGGGAAACGCGCCCTTTTCCCCAAGAATAACGGGATTTTTATATCGAAATGTTATATCGCAAAGACCACCCTCGTGTTTATGTCTCGATTTTCTCAAAATTAAATTCATAACGATTTCTTGCAATGCTTTTTTACAAAAGTTTTATCAATCGTGAAAATTTCACGTACTATTTCGTTAAAAACATAGATTATAAATGACCTGATATAAATGTATGGTGATTAGTGACCGTTAGTCGATGATTATTCAGAAAACACGAAGCCAGACAGCATCTCACGATTTCTGAATAATGACCTGATATAATATTGAAACATGCTTATGAACTTACTAAATCTTATGAATTTGCTTCCTAAAATTTAGTTCGAATTGATTGAAAACAATGTTTAAACAAAACAACATTATAATGATAGAAGAATATGGAATTAGGAAAGCAATCTATTTGTCTGTCTGTATGTTCATTCATTCTCTCTTTCAATCTCTCTCTCACACAAACACTCTTTCTCTTTCTCTCGCTTTCTTATCCACTATTTTTACAAAGACTGAAATGACCGTCTAAAAATGGTAATATGTGTGTTTGTAGCTATTTTGAGTGGTTAAGAAAACAAAGAGATTGATACCCAGAAAGACTTCACTCTTACTTTTCATTCATAGCCTTTCTATTCCCCTTCCTCTCATTCTCTCTCTCTCTCTCTCTCTCTCTCTCTCTCTCTCTCTCTCGTTTTTCCAACGTCTTTGATGATTAGTTTTTTATATCCATCCCCCGCCGCTGCTCTACCACTTGAGCTTCGTGTCTTCGATCCTCTCAGACACAACTTCCCATCTCAACCGCACCTTTTGAATTTTCCCTCCTTTTTGACATTTTTCGTATAAGGCGTATCAAGCCGAAGATCGTTGGTTCGAATCCCGCTCGTGCCATTGACTTTTTTATCTCAACTAAAAACCTTAATTAATTATAATATATTAATTGGTCAAGCGGACCACGAAATTAGTGAATTTAATTGTTACACATTATTTAAAAAAATCGCGAAGTGGTTTTTGTTTCAATGTCGCCTGGTGTCCTTTGTTTAAATGATGGACCAAAGTGACCAGTGCAGAAAACACATTGGCATAACAGGAACCGCAGAACGAACAAACTGGAAACAAAAATAACATAAATACAACATAAATAACAAAAACAATGCAAATTATAGACATGGAAATTGGCTCCATTTCGAATAATATCATGCTTTTTCTCCCCTCTGTTACGAAAAATATTTCGTATTACTGAAAGTATCAAAATGCCAGAATAGTCGGATTTGGACTTGTCAAGAGTCTGGAAACGATAAATAAACAGCTTTAGTTTCTACATTCCTATGATTTGCTATCTAACCTTTTCATTCCCAGATAGTCAATAGTTATGATTAATTGTAAACTCCGCTGTAGCTGGTCCCAACCCCTAACCTCGGTTGAGAAAGAGGTGGGATTTGAACTGCATCAAAGTTATTTCGGTGAATGAGACTTGGGTAAGATCAGGTCATTGAGCGAGGAGGAAAAACAATGGAAAATACGAAATTTATGGGATTTGGCAGGACATTTAGTAAGCTTTCAGACTTTTCTCTCTACTTTGGATGATTTTCCACTCCTCTTCAAAATATTTGCGGTAGAAAGCAAAATAAAATGGTTTCGACCTAACTCACTAGAACAGCATTTCGGCTGTTTTCAAAAAATCATTCTACCAATTTTGACCAATTTTAATAACTCAGTGCACATTTCTCTCGCCGAAAAATCTATTTTCAAAAAAAATAAAATGTGGTAAATGGGGGTTCCCATTTAAAATTACGTATTTGAATTGGACTTATGTCGAATCGAGGTGTAATGTACGAATAAATCGACCTTAAATGAACAAACTACATGGAAAATGAAGCGGAATCTCAATTCATACTTTTGTTCATATTTAGAACCGGAAAAGAAAAAAAAATGGGGTGGGCGCATTCGTTTGGACACCTGTATATAAAAAAATAAAAATAATAGAATATACCAGTTGTATAATTTAAAACGAAATATATAAAGATATACTGACAAAATATATGATATACAAAAACGGTAGAAATAGTAAGAAAATGTGAAGAAGGTGTATATGTTTTGGTAGGCGTTATACATGTATTGTGTGAAAGTAAGTAAAGAATAACACAAAAAAATCTGCAAAAATAACATTAAATAAACCAAAATAGAAAGATACAATACACTAATTCTGTAGTTAAAGTTAGAAGAATAACATATGGGTAAACAAACCACAAAAACATACGTTGACAGAACATTAGATGGAAATTCACAAATTTCGTGGTCCGCTTGACAAATTAATATATTATAATTAAGTAAGGTTTTTAGTTGAGATAAAAAAGTCAATGGCACGAGCGGGATTTGAACCCACGATCTTCGGCTTGAGACGCCGCTGCTCTACCACTTGAGCTTGACCTCGATCCACTCGGACACCAACTTCCCATCTCAACCCCACCTTTTGAATTTTCCCTCTTTTTTGCCATTTTTCAAATGTCGTGTAATCGGATTGGATTCTCGACGACAAATGAAATGGCCACGGAGAGCTTTAGTGAAGTATACTTCATTTTTAATCATTAAATTCACTAATTTCGTGGTCCGCTTGACCAATTAATATATTATAATTAATTAAGGTTTTTATCTCAACTAAAAACCTTAATTAATTATATTAGATGTAAAACAGTATCAGACGTAGCTAGCAAAAAATAAACAAGGTGAGAGTGATAAAATGAGAGAAAAACACACAGATAAAAAACTGTTTAAATTGATATTAGGAAAAAATTAGAAATTTTAAGAAGTAAAAGATATTTAACTGACGAAAAATTAAAAAGAAGTATTAAAGAAATGAAGAAAATCAGAAAGTTGTAGTCAGAAAGAGATAGTAGGAGAATTCACGATCTTTGGGTTAACCCTGTTAACTCTGTTAGGTCCTGTTAGAGCGAGAAAAATGTTGACGTAGACTTGTGAAAATCGGCCAGGGCCAATGTTAGATGTTAGGTCGAAAATGTAGTCACATTGCTATCAGTTAAGGCGTAGGTAACCAACATGGCAGCCATGAATTTAACAGCTGTTTTTTTATTACACGTATTTTTATTCAGTTGCAGTGTGGCATTTGTTAGTACTTTTCAAGTGCATAGATGGCATTTTGAATGAAAGAGTTGATTAATTTCCCTTTTTTATTAACTTCTGTAACCTTACAATTTAACACAAAAGAAAACGAAAACAAACAACAACAAGCCTTCAAGGACTGTTATACCTTATTTTTGGTTCCACCATTCGCCACGCGCAGCATTGCGGAAAAATTAACGTTTAACATGCTAACAAAAGAAGGAGGCATTCACGATCTTACCGGACATTTTAACATTCAAGTTGACACAAGTTAACGTCTTCAAACATCGTGAATACCCCTAATATAGATAATATAGATGTGATTGACACCATTTGAATA